CACACTGACACACACACCCTCACTCGCTCACACTCACACTGACACACACCCTCACTCGCTCACACTCACACTGACACACACTCTCGACACCCTCACTCGCTCACACTCACACTGACACACACACCCTCATTCGCTCACACTCACACTGACACACACACGCACGCACACACTCACACTGACACACACACGCACGCACACACTCGCACAAGCAAACACACACACAAACACATACACACACATACACTCACTCACAGACACACACTCCCACTCACCCTGACACACACACTCACCCTGACACGCACACTCACACTGACATACACACACACACACTCACTCACACTCACAAATAAGACATTTTCACTCTTGGAGACTTGGATATAAATGATGCCCCAGTGTGTCAGGTGCAAAATCATCCCTCAGCACTGACCCTCCGACAGTGCCCGCTCCCTCAGCACTGACCCTCCGACAGTGCCCGCTCCCTCAGCACTGACCCTCCGACAGTCCCCGCTCCCTCAGCACTGACCCTCCGACAGTGCGGCTCTCCCTCAGCACTGACCCTCCGACAGTGAGGCGCTCCCTCAGCACTGAACCTCCGACAGTCCCCACTCCCTCAGCACTGACCCTCCGACAGTGCAGCGCTCCCTCAGCACTGATCCTCCGACAGTGCCCACTCCCTCAGCACTGACCCTCCGACAGTGCCCATTCCCTCAGCACTGACCCTCCAGTAGTGTGGGCCGGATTTAAGCTCAGGTTGCTTGTTTAGAGGGGTTGGGTCTGAATCTGATGAAACTGTGGGTCAAGTGTTCCGGGAAGATGACTGCGTACGCTATGGGAGCAAAACTTGGGATCGTGCTGGGCGTCGCGGGGAAGATGGCAGAAAGCCTGTCGCCCTGGATTGGGGGCTGGGGGGTGGGGAACAGGGATGCGAGCCGATGTCCACCCATCCCTTTCTGAGAAATCACTTACATCCACTGCTCTGGAGGTTACCATAGCCAGAGACTGTACACATGGTCCCATCCAATGCACATTCTGTTGGGAGCTGTACTGGCTGAATATAATCGTTAATAATGCAGGGCTCTGCCAGTTTGATCAACATGATGTCGTGGTCCAGGGTGTAATAGTCGTATTTCTCGTGCCAGAAGATGTTCTCCACTTTAATGAACTGCTCCGTCCCCTCGAACTTGCTCCAGTTGGGATCTCCCAATGCAACCACCATCTGACTTGGGCTGTAGGACAGGGACAAGGTACAGAGGATGTTAACTTGCCCCCCACATGAACAACCGCAATTCCCCCCCCACACCCACTCCACATCCCCCCCCGCACACACACATTCATACACACACACTCACACACACACACTCACACTCACACACACACACACACACACACTCACTCACACACACACATTCATACACACACACTCACACACACACACACTCACACACACACATTCATACACACACACTCACACTCACACACACACACATTCATACACACACACTCAC